TCGTTGGTGTGCATCGTCGATGCATCATCGTGTCGTGTCGTCGTTTTCACGTGTTGTCATCCTCATGTGTTGTCGTCCTCATTGGTGTCATGTTTGCTGGGCATTGCGTTGTGTTGTGGGCATTGGGCATCATTTCGTGGGCACTAGGTGTCATTCTGTGGGCAGCCTGTGGTGTTTTTGTGGGTGCCATGGTGTTTTTGTGGGCACCGTGGTGTTTTTGTGGGTGTTATGGTGTTTTTGTGGGCAGTGGGTGGTCATTACGTGGGTTGTGAGATGCGGATGATGACCGACGATGACATCATCATTGTTGTTCATTGTTGTTCTGTTGCCATGTCACCTCCTTGCCTTGTTGCCACATTGCCTCGTCGTCCACCTAGCATGTTTGCATTGTCGTGGCCGTTGATGGGTGGTGTGGCGTTGTCGTCGTTGTTGCTGTTGTCAACACGGTTGGTGGGAGGGAATGGAGGTGGCAGGGAAGAGGATGGTTGGTGGTGGGTGGAAAGGAAAGGGTGTTGCATTTGTTTGGTAACAGAAGTAAAATAAACAAACAAATAACTGGATTCTGTTCCATTCTGTTCCTGCCAATCCTGCGGAACATTCTGGTGTCAATTCTGGAATGCCCAAATTCCACTGGAATGGTAAGGCACCAGAATAATGAAAATAGCAGGCCTCCCTGCCAAATTTCATTCCTCTGGAATCCACCAGAATCCGCCAGAATGACTGGATTCCTGTAGGAATTAGGGGGGCACTGATAAGACCTCCATTCCATGTGCAAGTCATCCTGACTCATCAGAACATTGTAGAATAGTGTAGAATATCTCATATGTATAAATACTGTCCCTCTGAATGCATGAGGGGCATCTCTTAACTTTACCCCACTTTATTCTCACATTTGAGATCTGCTGTAAGCACAAGCAGTACTTGTAGGACAAGGTAAGGCTTAGTGCTACCCAGTCTGAAGCTGTCCTAAGATCATTACACTTTGCACTAACATCACATTTGATTAAAGACTTGCTCTAATCATTCAGCAGTCTGGTACTCAAGTTCATTACTTGGTTTCAAAGTCTCCTTTTACTTTGAAGATACTTACAGAACCTCACAGTCCTGCTTGCATCTTCTTTGGTAACCCAGGTAGTTATTCCTTTTTACTCAATTTCTACTGACTACTTGTATACTCATAGGAGTACACCAAAGATTACGAGCCATATCGTAACATTGGTGGACACATTGGGAACATCTTCACAAGTGATTGGTTACGTAACCACTCTTGACTCCAAACTTGTTTCTTAACCTCAAGACTCATCATCTTTGCTCCCTCCTGCACTAGCCACTTCAAGTTTACTCAGCACAGGTATGATCCAATTATTTGCATACTGACTAACAGATTTTTCATGTCCTATAGATCTGATCACAATCATGGCTCATCAAGGTCTTAAGCACCTTTGACCTTGGAAACGGACCAATCGACAAATTCGAATGCACATCATCTCTTGTCCAACTATCGCCATTCCTCCTGCAACTCCAAAGCCTCATCCCACATCGACTTCTCCGCTTGTCAGTCTCCGCATTCTGACAACTTTAATGTGATCAAGTCTTGGAATGCTCTCACCCTGAAAGTTCACCCATGGCTGTAGGACTATGCCAACCTAACTGCAAAAATGCACTTACCTTTTTTTGTAGGAGCTGCATCTTGCCAGGCTGCCAGATGCCATTCTACCTGCACACTAGTCCAGAGAGCCTCCACAGTATAATTTTCAGGGTATTCCTAATTACCCATTGATGTTCTGTATTCGTTTTTCAGCCAATATGTTAATATCTGCAAACAAACCTCTGTTTTGGGCTCAACAACAATATTTTTGCTTCTGCATATGTTTCTTCCACAAAAAAGCCTTGCAAATCATTCCAAATATATCCTGTACTCTATTTACATTTAATAGAATTGATTCCTCATGTGTCCATATGTCAGAAATAGATGGATTGGTTCAATAGACTTCGGATGACCTTTGGGGATTGATGCTCCTGCACAACAAATGTAAACAATTCAAAAAGCTCATTTAGAGGAGATTCTTTGTGCCCTACAGCTTTGTTCAACCTTCATCTGCATCTGATACTTTACCGTATATACATTTTATAATGTTCTAACAATCCTAAGTAGTCCCCCTCTGTCAATCAGACCGAAATAAGCTGGATGGGCCAAACCCTTTTTGGATGAACTCGAGCCTTAGACGTTGCTGGTATACACATGTAAACAATTGAAAAAGAGTATGCTACCACACAAAATACAGCCTTACAGGGGAACAAGCAGTAAAAAAGATGTGATATACTACACATTTAGAAACAAAACAGATACATCACCTTATAGAAAGAAGTACGCCCTGCAACAATTCAGCGTCACCCTAGCGCCTGCTTGGTGCCATCCTGCCTGCTGTCGTGCTGTGCACCCCATCACTGCATGCCGTATTCGCACTGTTATTGTCCAAAGGGTTGTAGTCATGTCGTTATCGACCTGTGTCGTAGTCATGGCGTAGTCGTCTGCATTGTCATCATGTTGTTGTTGTCCTGAACATCGTAGCGCTGTCATTGTCGTCCCGTTTCCATGTTGTTGACATGCTGTTGTCGTCAGTGACGTCGTTCCGTGTTGTCGTTGACCCATCGTGGTGTTTGTCGTCCATCAACATGTCGGTCCGATGAGGAACAATGGCCGATTTGTTGTTCGTCGCTGTCGGCGACGTGGCACTGAGTTGTGTGTGTGAAGATGGGAATGGGAGTGCTGCTGGTGATGGGCGCTCATCGTCCTTTGTGGTGGTAATCATGGGCCGTCGCCGTCTGTGGGTAGTAGGCAATCATGACCCGTTGTTGTTCGCTGCTAGTGGTGGTGGTGGTGGGCCGTTGCCATCAGGATCATCTTGGCGTCATCCTGAAAGTCGATGTCAACATGGCACGCCCGAATGGGCCATTGGCGTGCCACGTCAGCCATTTGGTGGTGGCACCATTGGCAATACATTGGGCTGCTTGTGTAGAATAAAATAAACTCACCTTGTAACGAACATCCCTCCCTTCTCTTTGAACTCCCGAATATCAATATTTGTAGTGTAGTTGCGGAGTTTCGCCCCAGCGTATCCGATCAGGTGTTCTCCACACAAAGGTCGATAGACGAGTAAGTGAGACTTTGGTTGTCATGTCAGCGACATGGCACCATGGATTCCACATCCGGGAAAAGAGGTTGCTCACCTTGGGATGCCACGAATGAGAGCGGCAGGAGAAAAGTGACGACATTGTGTATCGTCACTGCCAGACAACACAGAACATCTGGAGGGACTGTCGATGTGTCATCATCCTTGTGTCGAGTCGATGTGGGCAGTGTCCCTTTGTGTGGTGATGTGGTGTTGCCACGTTGTTGCTGTGGTGGTTGTGGGCGATGGATGTAGTTGGTTGGAGTACGTGCTTGATCCGTGCGCAAACATCGAGAGGGGGCCGTTCGATAGACGATGTGACGTCAGATTTGAGGTTGGAGTGTTGACGTGTGCCATGCCGAGTTGATGTGCATCATGTTGAGTCAACGTGGTCATCTTGAGTTGACGTGTGTCCTCTTTTGCTTGGCTGCCACATCGTTGCTGTGGTGGTTGTGGGTGAGAGCAAGGTGAGAGTTCTATTAGCAAGTCAGTTGTCATGTCGAACGGAAGGATGGAGTAGTCGACATACCACTCTCAGATGAGTTGCGGAATGAAGGATAGAGGCGTTGACTTGGCGTTGACATGGCTGCTCAACCACCCATCAACAGCGCTTGGCATTTCCTGAGTGCTGAAGGAGTCTTGCGTGCACCAAGCGCACACTCGTTACTGAGAGGGAAAAAATATGGAAAAAGGTATTTTGAAGTTCTAGGGAATAGGACTAGCATTTGAGATAGGTAGTACCATGTATTTACTGGGTAGGGAGTAAAAGTCAGAAGAATTTCAATCTGCACCTGAGTTGCACTTGAACTTTCAGTTGCTTTATTGTGACCCCTCTACACCTATCCCATTACCTGTATCCCCACAATCCTCTCATTTCCACTTCAGTCACCCACTGACCACTGACTATTAGTTATGTAATTTCAGTATATATTACATGACTAATAGTAGTACTGTATTTATTTATTGTACTGAATATATCCAGAATCTTTACTGTATCTATTTCCTTAAAATGTCACAAAATCAGCTGTCACACTATTGAATCTATTTTTTTGCACTAAATAAATCTTTTTTGATGCCAAGACTCTGAAACAAATATATTTCATGGTTTCACTACTGAATAAACCTTTTTGGTTAACATGTCACAAACTTGCCTGTCACACCACTGAATACATTTTGGCTCTGGATAGACTACTAGAGGTGTCTGGGGTCCAAGTTCCAAAGAAAAGTGTGTTATGATTTTTCACTAGTAGAGGTATTATTGATAAATTTCTTTTTGTTTGTAAATGCTTTCCTGGGGCTGTAGGGTCCTACTGTTTTCAGGATCCACTGCCCATTGCATTCTTTCCTTAGAAGGGTTTGTAGTGTCTGCCTTTTGGGACTACAAAAGTTTGGTGTGCACTTTTCCATTTGGAAAGTTTGTAGTTCCCACTTTTTTTGACTACAAAGTGTGTGCTTTTTCATCAGAAAAGTTAGTAGTGTCCACTTTTTGACACTACAAAAGTTTGTAGTGTGCACTTTTTCATTAGTAAAGTTTGTAGTGTCTGCTTTTTGAGACTACAAGAGTTTGTAGTGTGCGCTTTTTCATTAGAAAAGTTTGTAGTGTCTGCTTTTTGAGACCACAAAAGTTTGTAGTTGACATGTAGTTTATGGTGTCCTTGGCTCTGTCTAGGTTATGGGGATGAGGTTGAAGGATTAACATGATCTTACTTACATATTTCCAGTTCTGCTGCATTAGTTTTTGACATTATGCACAAGCAGTCTTTTACGTTAGGAAAGGCTAGCCTAGGCCTTCATATTGATACCTACTGTCCTATTTCAAAACATCTTTACCTCATATCTCCATAACAGGAGCACTTCAGAATATAATTCAAACAGATTCAGGAAGCTACAATGTAGGGCTACAACTTTCGTTTTCACCATTTTTGGTAATTGGTCATGTGACCATCATCATTACATGGACCCTGATAGATAAAAACATTCTCCTGTTGGTTTTATTCACTTTTGGTCAAACCAGGTGATGTTTCCTCTTTGGGATGGACCCTGAAGTGAACCCTGAAGGCAGTGCCTGATGTTCTGTGCACCATTCATATCTTTTTCCATTTTCTTTCCTATTTTCTAGCTATTTTTGACTATATTACCCTATTTGGACATATGCCCTGGACCCTGAAAACAACCCCAGATGTCATCACCAACAGAAAGCACCACCCCCATTTTTTTCTGATTTTTTGGTTATTTTGTGGCTATTTTTAGCTATATTACCATATTAAATAGTAGGACCCCACAGCCCCAGGAAAGCATTTACAAACAAAAAGAAATTTATCAATAATACCTCTACTAGTGAAAAATCATAACACACTTTTCTTTGGAACTTGGACCCCAGACACCTCTAATAGTCTATCCAGAGCCAAAATGTATTCAGTGGTGTGACAGGCAAGTTTGTGACATGTTAACCAAAAAGATTTATTCAGTAGTGAAACCATGAAATATATTGAATTCAGAGTCTTGGCACCAAAAAGATTTATTTAGTGCAAAAAAATAGATTCAATAGTGTGACAGCTGATTTTGTGACATTTTAAGGAAATAGATACAGTAAAGATTCTGGATATATTCAGTACAATAAATAAATACAGTACTACTATTAGTCATGTAACATATACGGAAATTACATGACTAATAGTCAGTGGTCAGTGGGTGACTGAAGTGATAATTACATATGTCTTTTTGTGATGCATATTTCAAAATGTGCTTACGATACGGTTCATCATGAGGGAAGTAGGCCAGGCCCATATGTAAACCTGGATCCCTTGCAACACTTGATCACATCAAGTTCTTGAGGCGGAAGTTGGTGTCCAATGCGACGATCAGGAGGTAAAGAAACCTAATATCACTAGTCCCTACCACTTCTTATCATAAAACACTGGCAACTGCCAGCACAACGATTTGTTAATTGCCTAGGTTTTTTATGAAATGAGATAACATGGCAAACCTTATGAAATGTATCTCATTTCCTACAAGGTATTATTTCATTTCTATTTCATTTCTATTTCATTCCTGTTTCATATCCATTTCATTTCTGTTTCATATCTATTTCTTTCCTGCCTAGCACTACTTTTCATTGCTGCCTGGGCTGTTTTTCATTTCCTTTCTGTTTCATATCTATTTCATTCCTGCCTAGCACTATTTTTCATTGCTGCCTGGACTATTTTTCATTTCATTTCTGTTTCATATCCATTTCATTTCTGTTTCATATCTATTTCATTCCTGCCTAGCACTACTTTTCATTCCTGCCTGGGCTGTTTTTCATTTCCTTTCTGTTTCATATCTATTTCATTCCTGCCTAGCACTATTTTTCATTGCTGCCTGGACTATTTTTCATTTCATTTCTGTTTCATATCCATTTCATTTCTGTTTCATATCTATTTCATTCCTGCCTAGCACTACTTTTCATTCCTGCCTGGGCTGTTTTTCATTTCATTTCTGTTTCATATCTATTTCATTCCTGCCTAGCACTATTTTTCATTGCTGCCTGGGCTATTTTTCATTTCATTTCTGTTTCATATCCATTTCATTTCTGTTTCATATCTATTTCATTCCTGCCTAGCACTACTTTTCATTCCTGCCTGGGCTGTTTTTCATTTCATTTCCCAGGGCGATATTTTTCTATTTCATTCCTGCCTGGGCTATTTTTCATTGCTCCCAGGGTGATATTTTTGGCATTTCATTGCTGCCTCAGGGCTATTTTTCATTTCTTTGCCTAGGGTAATAACAGGGTAGGAATTGTCAGGGTCTCTTGCATTGTTGGATGGTGGTCACATGACCAATTACCAAAAATGGTCACAAAACGAAATTTGTAGCCCTACACTGTAGCTTCCCGAATCTGTTTGAATTATATTCTGAAGTGCTCCCATTGTGGAGATATGAGGTAACGGAATTTCAGAAGTGTCACATTTTTTTTGTTTTTTGTGTTTTTCACCATGAAAACAAAACCAAACAACCTGATTTCAGTATATTTAGAAAGCTCAAAGAAAGGGCTACAATTATTGTATCATGGGAAAAATGACCAAAAAAGGAAGGTGCATGCCCTAGAAAAGGAATTAGACTATAAGAGTCAGATATAGACTACCAAGTTTACTGATAGACTACAAGACTTAGACTACACAGTTTACTGATACACTATAAAAGACTACAAAAGTCAGACTTAGACTACAAAGTTTGCTGATAGACTACAAAAGACTACAAAAGTCGAACTTAGACTACAAAGTTTACTAATACACTACAAAAGTCTATAAACTACCAAGTTTACTGATAGACTACAAAAATGTCAGACTTAGACTACAAAGTTTACTGATACACTGTAAAAAACTACAAATGTCAACACCTTGCACTTAGAGTACATAGTTAGGGTTAGGACTAAAAGGTTATTCAAAGTCAACCTAGCCCTATGTCCATCCATCCCATACATGGCACATATTTGATGGGAAAATTGCTAGAAAATATGCAGATACACTGCAGGGACCCTATGTATTCCATTTAGTTTGAGGAATTATATGCAAAAGAGAGCATGAGAGCTATTAGAAGAGTTTGTCCTGTCCACTTTTTTAGACCACTAAAGAATATCAGAAGAGTTTGCAGTGTCTGCCTTTTCATTTAAAAAAGTTTGTGGTTGACATGTAGCTTTTGGTGTTCTTGGCCCTATGTAGGTTATGGGGATGAGGTTGAAGGATTGCCATCATATTGCCAGTGCTGCAGCATTATCATGCACAAGTTGTCTTTCACATTAGGAAAGGCCATTCTAAGCCTTTCATATTGATTGATACCTACTGTCCTATCTTAAAACATAAATATAAGTTCATGTTGGGATATGGCTGAAGGATTGACATGACATCACCAGTTTTTGACATCATGACCAAGTTGGCTTTCACACTGTCTGCTTTCACATTGATAGCTACTGGCCTATCCCAAACATAGTCAACTTTGATACAGCTCTTTGATCCTAATGTGAAAGACAACTTGTGCATAATGTAAAAAACCAATGCTGCAGCAATGGCAATATGTCAATCCATAATGTCAAGGACACCACAAACTACATATCAACTACAAACTTTTCTAATAAAAAAGCGCACACTACAAACTTTTGTAGTCTCAGAAAGTGGACACTACAAACTTTTCTAATGAATGTCAATTCTTCAACCTCATCCCCATAACCTAGACAGGGTCAAGGACACCACAAACTACATGGCAACTTGTAGTCTTAAAAAGCAGACACTACAAACTTTTGTAGTCTTAAAAAGCGGACACTACAAACTTTTGTAGTCTCAAAAAGCAGACACTACAAACTTTTGTATGCTCAAAAAGTGGACACTACAAAATTTTCTAATGAAAAATCGCACACTACAAACTTTTGTAGTCTCAGTTTTGACCCTAACCCTAACTTTGTAGTCTAAGTCCAATGTAGTCTATCAGTAAACTTGGTAGTCTATATCTGACTCTTATAGTCTAATTCCTTTTCTAGGGCATGCACCTTCCTTTTTTGGTCATTTTTCCCATGATACAATAATTGTAGCCCTTTCTTTGAGCTTTCTAAATATACTGAAATCAGGTTGTTTGGTTTTGTTTTCATGGTGAAAAACACAAAAAACAAAAAAAATGTGACACTTCTGAAATTCCGTTACCTCATATCTCCACAATGGGAGCACTTCAGAATATAATTCAAACAGATTCGGGAAGCTACAGTGTAGGGCTACAAATTTCGTTTTGTGACCATTTTTGGTAATTGGTCATGTGACCACCATCCAACAATGCAAGAGACCCTGACAATTCCTACCCTGTTATTACCCTAGGCAAAGAAATGAAAAATAGCCCTAGGCAGCAATGAAATACCAAAAATATCACCCTGGGAAAGCAATGAAAAATAGCCCAGGCAGGAATGAAATACCAAAAATATCGCCCTGGGAAAGCAATGAAAAACAGCCCAGGCAGGAATGAAAAATAGTGCTAGGCAGGAATGAAATAGATATGAAACAGAAATGAAATGGATATGAAACAGAAATGAAATGAAAAATAGCCCAGGCAGCAATGAAAAATAGTGCTAGGCAGGAATGAAATAGATATGAAACAGAAATGAAATGAAAAACAGCCCAGGCAGGAATGAAAAGTAGTGCTAGGCAGGAATGAAATAGATATGAAACAGAAATGAAATGGATATGAAACAGAAATGAAATGAAAAATAGTCCAGGCAGCAATGAAAAATAGTGCTAGGCAGGAATGAAATAGATATGAAACAGAAATGAAATGAAAAATAACCTAGGCAGCAATGAAAAATAGTGCTAGGCAGGAAAGAAATAGATATGAAACAGAAATGAAATGGATATGAAACAGGAATGAAATAGAAATGAAATAGAAATGAAATAATACCTTGTAGGAAATGAGATACATTTCATAAAGTTTGCCATGTTATCTCATTTCATAAAAAACCTAGGCAATTAACAAATCGTTGTGCTGGCAGTTGCCAGTGTTTTATGATAAAAGTGGTAGGGACCACTCCTAATATTCGCTGAGAAAGACATCTTGAATAGACATGGTGATACTGACTTTAATTCCTGTGGGGCATCCTTCCAGCCCTCAGGTATATTGACATCAGGCATCGGACATGCAGGGCACGCAACTGCCAGGTGACCAGATTGTGTGTTGATGAGGCCATTAGCAAAGTTTCCCCGACCTGCATGCTTCATGAGCTTCAGATGATGCCACATTCGGATCATCCTCATCAGTGCCCTATACCGTGTCTAGATGAAGGCTATCAGGACTTGAAATCACGAGCTTAGTCCGAGGGAACACCCACCTTGGGAACATTGATATCGAGATTGTCTGTTAAGTGTTCGAGCGACTTGTAGACTTCATGCGTGGAAAGTTTTCCTGTCAAAGTAACGATGTGGAAGAGGTCTAGAAGTTGGAACGTCGGGCAGGTTTGGGGCTGGTAGACCGTTGCAGGAAACCAGTCACACTGCAAGAGCTGTTGACGATGCAGGATTCACTCATTGCAACCACAGAAGTCCATGGCAACATAATGAAGGCCATTCGTGTGCAAGACAATGAAGTCTTTATGCCCAGGAACTGGCAAAACACAAGATGAGTTGATGTGGCCCAACTGCATGCGTAAGCCCATAGCTTTCAGCGAAATCTTTTGGAAATACACGTTGTTCCACTTCTATTGAATTAAATCGGTCAAAGCAACTCTATAAAGATGGAAGGATAGCCGACATACCTGTATAATGTGAAGTGGAAGGTCCTTGTGCCTTGCTAAGCAACATCCTGAACATTCCAGTCTACCCCCCAAGCAGTCATCGCATCGGAACACGCCACACGGGCCTCTGCACAACATACACATTCCCCCCCTCAAGTCGCCATGGCCCTCTGACCTCAACATCTCCCATAAAAACTCCTTCTGGAAGCCTGGATCTTCCTTGGTCCTCCCAGACCACTCTTGAAGAGGTGCATCCTGCACGATTGAGGACAATAGCATGAAAGATGATGACAATAACTCACCAAAGTTGGATATCACTTCGAAGCAACCTTGGCAGCCACATCTGAAGCTTGTGCTGGTGTAAATTCGGAGATGTGGGTGTGCTGAGAACTATCATCCAACTCTTGAAGGTCGTACTGAGGACTTGGGTTCCAATGGTAACAGGGAGCTGGCTGTGCGAAACGGCATGACTTCTGAGGTGAGCGTGGGGTTTGCTGGATATGGGGGTGGTTTGCTGAAAGAGTGATGGTGTGTGCTTGTGGAATGGCGATGTTGTCTTCGCCTGGATCTGTGTCGTGGAGCACCACATAACCACTCTTTCCACCTCGGTGTCGTCTTGGCATGGTTGGTGATTTCTGCTTATGGAAGCGAGCTCAAGCTCACTTCATAAGCAAGATATTCCCATAACCTTTTGATAACCTTGCTTTTTTTTTCCCAACAAGTCAAGGGCCAGCACTTCGCCCTTGACTTAGTGAATAGGTATGTAAGACTAAGTACAAATAGATAATAGATTACTCTAATATACTAGTCAACTAATAGTCATCGTCCATGGCCACTCTTCTGCCCTCTAACCTCCCCTCCTCACAAGCCCTTGACAATGCAATGGCATGCTCCAGTTTAACAAACATGATATCCTTGTCAGGGTTCCAAGTGGTTGGCAGCTCGTCCAAAATTTTCTGTACTTTACCCTCCCCGGCTTAATCCATATGGAATCCATGGAAGGGGGGGTGGATTCCAGACATTCCAGATGGATTCCATGGAATGGCTGATGGATTCCATACTTTTGGGGGATGGATTCCATGGAATAGCTGATGGATTCCATACTTTTGGGGGATGGATTCCATGGAATAGTTGATGGATTCCATACTTTTTACAGATGGATTCCATACTTTTTTCAATAAATTCCATATTATTTCCATATGGAATCCAGATGGAATGGTCATGGAATCCATATGGAATAAGTTCAAACTTAGAGTTGTTTAAAATATTAGTACAATCAAGTATTCACAGATTGNGTGTTTACAGTGTATTGAATAGAAGTACCTACATAAATTACATACATGCATTTATCTAACTACCTTCAAATTAAAGGGAGGGGGGAGGGAGTGATGAAGGGAGGGGGAAGTGATGGAGGGGGAGGAGGGGGTGTGGGAGAGGGTGTGGTGGAGGGTGAGGGAGGAGGGAGTGATAGGAATGGGGTTTAAAGAGGGGGTGAGGGAGGGGGAGCTGATGAAGGGGTAGGGGGACTGATGGGGGGAGGGGGCAATGGGGGAAGGGAGATGATGAAGAATGGGGGAAGGGGAATGACGGAGGGAGGAGTTTACCTATTGCCCATGTCCGTTCACGCAAGTCTTCATTTGTGGGTGTCGTGTCCCATGCACTCGTCATTCGGGGTGGGCGTCGTCAGTGGGCGCTCGCCGTACGTGGGCACTCGTCGTTTGTGGGCGCTCGGGCGTCGTTCAGTGGGCGCAGGGCGTTGTCGTCGTGGGCGGTGGACGGTTTCATGGGCGATGGACATTGTTTTGTGGGCGGTGGGCGGTGGACGTCATTTTTGTGGGCAGGGGACGTCGTTGGTGGGCGGTGGGCGTTGTTCGTGGGCGGTGGACGTCGTTTGCGGTCGCGGGATGTCAGTGGGCATTCGTTTTTGGGCGGCGGTGGTCGTTGGTCTTCGTCTGTGGGTGGGCGGTTGTCCTCGTGTTGTGTGTGGGAGCTCGTGGCCGTTCATGGGTGGTCATGGTCGTTTGTGGGCGCTCGTTGACATTGGTGCGTTGCTGGGTGCTCATGGACATTGCTGGGCGCTTGTGGGCGTTGGTGGGTGCTCGTGGTCCGTTCGTCTTCGTCCGTGGTCCACCGCCCACGTCTTCAATGGTGGTTGGGCAGTCGTCGTGGTCCTCAAGGCTAAACAATACGACGAATGACGAACGACGACACTGGTCGTCGTTCGTCGTCTGGTTGCAACGTCACAGCTGGCGACGTGGCACCTGGTTGGTGTCAGGAGGGACAGTGGCGGCGTGGTGACTACTTACCAGGCTGGGTCGATGTTGCATGTTGTCGTGCATCGTCAGCGTCATCGTCGTCGTCGATGTTGTGGGCGGTCGTGGTTTGAGACAGTGGTGGTGGATGGTGATGGTGGTGGTGGGAAGGGAGGGACGACGTGGCAACGCTTCAGCCAAAGCTGTCACGTTTGGCATGCCACGTGCCTGAACGCGGCATATAGATACCTCTAGTTTGCTATGTACTACCACGCCATTACACATGAGACAGATGCCAGCTAAGATCATTGAACAGAATATACAGGATGACAGGTTACCATAAGTACTGTAGGAATGGAATCATACCAAAGAGATGGGATCATACCAACGGAATCATACCATAGGAATGGAATCATCCCATAGAGGCAGAATCATACCAATGGAATCATACCAAAGAGATGGGATCATACCAATGGGAGAGGTCTTATCAGTGCCCCCCTAATCCTGCAGG